CCACACATTTGGACTGATTTGTGACCACTGTTTGGGAGGGATGGTTATATTGTGTATCTGGAATGAATTTTAGGTCTCTACGTCCATCCCATGGGGAATGGGACCAGTAACAAAGGTGTTGTGTTTATATTTTTGTTGAGTGTAGCACAATACCACAGAAAACCCCAACAATCACATCACCCTCCATGAGTAAGCAATCGTGGCAAGGAAGAATTTCCTTCTAACAGAAAAAACTAACAAAAACCCTTAATTAAGGTGAAGGAAGAACTCCCCTTTGAATTGATGACTAGATAAATGAGATTGCTAGAATACTGCAAAATATTACAGAGGCTATCTTAGTGGCAAAAACTGCAATCAAACATTTGCGATAACTGGCAATCACGGTGGAGGAAATTTGGTTCAATCTTCAATGCAGAAAATATAACCAACTCCAAAAAACAAGACATGTAACAAAAACATCTAAGGTATGTTTTCATTTCAGAAACTTTGCATTATGAATTATCTGTAATGTGGGTCCTGTTTATAAATTTATATTACTACTGTTTATTCTGGACAATTTCTCTACTGGATGACAATATTTTCAAGGGTATTTTAGAACCTAATGTTCATTTGTTGCTAATGTTGCTTTTCAACACGGTCTAGACAATTAATTTACGGCATCTAGATGTTTGTGTAGGGTTAATCATCCAAGTCATTCAGGTGATCTAAGGAATTTGATCAAAGGTAAAAAGTTTTCAAAAAGCATAAAGAAATCCATTTGCTTTCTTTTCAAAGAGGCTTCTTCAGTTCTAAAATCAAAAGATCAAGTGTTCTGTCCTTTGCACAACTTGACAGAGAGCTAACAGCTTCAATGAACATTGGAGGCGGAAGTAAGTTTAAGGCTTTTTACTTCGTCAATAGTTCAATGATTGACATCCTTTTCTTCCCATAAAACTAAAAACAAACACAAAACTAAATGTTATAAGATGCCTTTTCATTTAAACTCACACTTCTAGAATATGAACGATACTGTTATATAGCATGTGCAATCAACAGTGACTCAGTAGTGATCACAATACAACTTAGCGAGTTTAGCTTCCCCAAAGATAAACATAACAGATGAAATAACTGGTTTCTAAACAAATCTCTGTAATAGAAATGCACCAAATAAACTTGTAAACATGTTGTACATTAATACTCACAAGCAATAACTCTCCAAGGCAGAAATGTTTTAAATGTCTTAAGGCGACAAACAGCATATTCTGCAGGCCAACAAGCGACCAGCTTCCTTTTTCCTCTATCCACAGGAACACAGAAAATATGGGCTCAAATTGTGGTTATAAATATTTTGTACTTGTAAATCAGTTTTTTACTTGTAAATCAGGATTTGAATGTGTAAAAAGAATTTGTGTGTGTGTAAAAAAAGATTGTGAAACTCTACAAGCTACAAGTACGAATTTTGACCCTACTTTTCTTCCTTTGATCTGATTGGTCAATGTCATGTCAATCACAAATTTAACTATCCAATCAGAGAACACATGGGTTTGGCTATTGTAAGGGTGCTTTATGGAGCTTCAGGTCCTTGAAGGGAATAAATGCCCTTTTACATGCCAGCCCAGCGTTTTCCTTCATCACCACGAAGGAAAACAGTCTGTGGTCGTCTGAGTGTGTGTGTGTGTGTGTGTGTCAGAGTGTGACCCCATAAACGACTTCACTTAACCTGCTGGTCTGGAAAATCCAACAGTTAATCTATATTTAAAAAAGGGCACTTAGACTAAAACTGACATAGCTACGTTAATCCTACCGTAAAACAATAAGACAAGGTACGACTTTTCCCATGCTCCTAGGATGTGGGTGCGAATGCCAGAGCACTCTGGAATGCACGCAAAGCTTTTGCAGACTATTAAGGATTGCACATCCTATCACTACCATATGTAAACTTATATTATTAAAAGATTATACTGACTACTGAGTACAATTTTCCATTGACATTAACCTTAATTACTGCGGGAGAATAATGAATGATGCTCACAGTGAGTAAAAAGTAAACAGTGCATTTTTTGGACAGAGATTCACTTTTAATGTGTGTGTATAATATAATACAGATACATAAAAAATACACTCCAAAAATAGAAGAGTCCTTGAAATGTACAAAATATTATTA